GCCGCCGCTGCTCGCGCTGCCGGGTCCCGGCGATCCGCAACAATGTGGAGCTGCCTGGGCGCCGAGCCGCGCCGCGCTCGCCGCTCTCGCTCTTTCTCTCACTCGCCGAGCTCCAGCCTCTCAGCCGCTCTCCCCGTGATGTCAGACCGAGGGGGAGGGGTTAGCGTTAACCCCCTCCTGGCTCCCGACGCGCGGCCCGCGCCCGCCCGGCCCCGGCCCCGGCCCCGGCCCCGGCCCGGCCGCGCACACCTTCCGACCCTCGGCGGAGGCGGGTCCCCCGCGAGGGCTGCGGGGTCCGCCGAGGCCCACTAGCTCGGGAGGTGCCCCTTCGGTCGCCTTCCCGCCCCGGGAGGGCTGGAGGGCTAGGCGCCCTCCTCCTCGCTGACAAAGGGAGGCAGTGACCCCTAGCGGCCGGCGTGGGGGGGAGAAGCTGCTCGGTGGAGGTGGAGTTAAGATGGGGCGGGCGGAGGCGGGGGGAGTGGGCCGTGGAGGAGGGAGCGTGCAGTATGGAGACTACTGGATCTGGCAAAGTCCAGCTGAAAGGGAATCTACAGGCCCTCTACTCCAACCTTGGCCCCATTTTACAGATGCGGAAACAAAGGCCCAGAGGAAGGGAATGCCACTCGCTCAGGGGCGCAAGGGCAGAAAGTGGCCGACTTGGACTGAACCCCACAGCCAGAGCTCCCCTCTCCTCTGCATCACCGGAACGCTGAATGGAGAGGCAGCTGTGTGGGGACCGACGGGAAGCTGCCAGAGGAGTCGGTGGTGGGCAACCGTGGGTGAGATGGTGCCACTGAGGTTTCTGGTCTTTTCTAATCTTCGCTCCCTTTGCAGGGTTTCCTTTCCCGAAACTGAAGCCCCCTCCCCTCCTGAAACCAGCGGGAAACCGAGCTCAGCTCCCTTTGCCAGAACCTTGGTTTTGGGCGATTTGCAGGAATCCCGGGAAAGTGACCCATCTAGTCAGTGTCCGAGGCAGGCCAGGGACTCTCCGCCGCATCCCGTTCACCACCCACCACATCCGGGTGTGGTTGGCTTCGTGCCAAGGCGGCTGGGCCCTTGGGGCCCTCTGCACCTTCCCTCTGGATCTCCTACTCTCATCCTCCACCCTGGGAGGAGGCAGACAGGCAGACAGTTTCCCACTAGGGAGGAACAAGTTCTCCCCAGATGCCTGACCAGATAATGCGCCCTTTGCCCATTGCTGCCGTTTGTCCAGCTGGCAGGAGCAGTGGGGTTGGATGGAGAAGATGAAGGCAATTTATATCCGATAATATATAAATTCCAGTTCCTGGGTGGCACCACTTTCTCACTATTGGGGATCTGGCCCTGGAGCGTCTCTCCCTTTCCTGCTGAAGTGGTCTAATTTGGCACTCACATGGATGTTTGTGCCCTCATGTGCACGTCTTTTACATTTAACAAAAACGATCGAGCTTTCTTTGTACCAAGCACTGTGCCAGGCTTGGGGATGTCGAGACACCCTCATTGCCCTAAAGGCACACAGTCTAGTTTGGGGGGCAAAGAGGGAAGACAGATAAAGAAACATATTATAAATAAGTATTTCCTGTGTGTGGTGTGTCCAGAGGTGAACACCCAGGATTTGGTGCGTTTCGGAGAAAGTGCCCCGTGCAGCCTGGGGTGGGATGGGGATCAGGGAAGGCTTCTGGGGAGAAGGGCCACAGAAGGGCCTGGGTGAGTCGTCTAACAGACAGAAGTGTGCTGGAGTGAGGAGGCATTCAGGAGACTGGATTTTGGACGGGGGGAGGTCCGCAGAAGGAAAGGCACAAAGACCAGCAACAGCTGGGTGAGTGGGACACACGCACACTGGTTCTAGCCTGAGACTTGGGAAAAGGAGAGGCCTGTGGATCTGTGAATGCCTGGGAGCCCCCAGGAGGGTTTTATGCTGGGGAATGTCTTATCAAATTTGATTTGTGGTAGCCCGGTCCAGCGGCCAGGCACCTCCCCTCTGGTCCTTGGGTACCTGTAAGGGCCATGGCCAAGTTGGCTCATTGCTGTGTCTGAGACTCTTCCTGGTGCGTTGTAGGAGCTGAATGGATGGGTTTGAGGGGGCAAATCCAGATGCACCAGTACCCACTACTTCGCTGCTCATGTTCTCCTACCTCTTCATCCTTGGCTGAGGCTTCTCTGATCTGCTCTTAAATGAGCTTCCAGAGAGGATGTGTCTGGGGGTAGGCATGGCTGCCTGGGGATAGGTTGGATGGAGAACATGAAGGCAAATAAATGAGAGAGTATGATCATTCACTCATCGCTTTTAAACAAGCCCCCAAAATGTAAAGCACCAACGTAGATGCCGTGGAGCCAGAACACACTGAGGGGAGGGGGTAAAACGTAATGGTCAAGCAAGCACTTGAGACTCTGGAGCTAGATTGCCAGGATTTGAATCCTTAGACACCCCCTCTGCCACCCAGTAGCTGTGTGTCCTTGGGCAAGTCACTTAACCTCTCTGTGCTCAGCTTCCTCATCTGTAAAATGAAGGGAAGTGTAGCCCCTACTTCATGGGGTTGTGAGGATTCAATGAGTTGAACAACATGAAGCACTTGGGAGAGTGCCTGGTGTATATACAGAACTGTTTAAGTGTTAGTCATTGTTAAAACTGTAATCTCTCTCCCCACATCCAATTTTGCTCTTCTCTGCCATGGTGCCAGGGGGATGTATGAATCTTTAAAACCTTTATTTTGAAGTAATTTTGGATTTACCAAAGAGTGGCAAAGACAGAACCAAGTTTCCATGTGTCCTTCACCCAGCTTCTTGTGATGTCAATGTCCTCTATGTCCACAGTATATTTGTCGAAACTAGGAAATTAGCATTGGTATAATACTATGCACTGAACTACAGAATTTATTGGATTTCTCATTTTTCTACTGATCTCTGCTCTATGTGCAGGGATCCAATCCACAGCATCACATTGTATTTAGCAGTGGATTGTGTTCTGTTGCAAATGAGCAGGTCCCTGTGCCCGAGAACACTTCCTTGGCCTGTCAGCCTGTGAGGCCTGTGTCCAGTCCTCCTCGAGGTCTGTGGGGCCTCGTCTTATCCAGTGCCAGGGCATAGAGTAGGAGCCACGGGCTTTCCTGAGGTTCCGTGAGGCTCTCAAACTTGCATTCTTAGTCTTTGCCCATGCTGTTCCATCTGCACTGATGTGCTCTTCCTCTTCCTTTTGGCCAGCCACTTATTTTTGAGGGCTCAGTTTACCTGTGTCACCTCCCCGGAGCGGCCCCCTCTGCCCTTTAGACCAGGCAAGTCCGCTCCTGTATGCTCACAGCTCCCTTGCATGCTATAACCCTTCTGTCATTGCTTCTAATACTTGATTCTTTCCTTCCCGGGCTCTCAGCCCCTCCAGGGCAGACCATGTGGGTCTTGTCTGCTCTCTCCCTAGCACCTCGAATGTGCCTGACACTTGGTGGGCACTCAGTGAAAATGTGTGGATTGACCACCTCACGTCCTGGGCCACTTTCTACCAATCGCTTTCCTCTCTGGGCTTCAGTCGTCTCATCTCAGACCAAGGAGTTTAATCTGTTCAGGGGCTTTCGAATTGTGTTTCGAAAGCCCTAGCAATTTCCTGGGTTCTCCGCTCCCTGCCTCATTAGGAGCCGTGTTTAAAAGCACCTTGTTTTCATGCTCTTTCAACATGCGGCTTTTGAGGAAGGTTCTTTCTAATGGATTCTGCTGCTTAAAAAGTTTGATCCCCCCCGCCCCCGACACATCATTTCATTATATATTCTGCACTGCATATACAGTTGACCCTTGATTGGAGGTTAGGGGCACCAACTTCCCGCATGGTTGAAAATCTGCATATGACTTTTGACTCCCCCCAAATTTAACTACTGATAGCCTACTGTTGACCAGAAGCCTTATGGATAATGTAAGTGGTCGGTTAACACATTTTGTAAGTTCTATGTATCATATGCTGGATTCTTATGATCAAGTAGAGAAGAGAAAATGTTATTAAGAAAATCATAAAGAAGAGGAGCTACATTTACAGCCCTGGACTGTATTTATTGAAAAAAATCCATGTGTAAGTGGACCTGTATAGTTCAAACATGATTTTCAAGGGTCGACTGAGGTTGCATTATTTCAGAATTCTGTGATTTATTTTTTCTGCAGGCCGCAGTGAGCCATGGAAGGTCTCTGAACAGAGAAGCACTTATTGGGGGCTGCTGGAGCTGTGCTTTCCAGAGATGAATCTGGCAATATCGTGGGTAGGACGGACAGAGGACTGGTCAGGGAGGGAGGGGGGGCAGCGCGGAGATAGAGTTGTTGTGGGAGCCAAGCTCCCACAGCCAAGGAGAGAATTTCTTGCAGCAGGAGGTTGCCAATAGTATCTGATGCTGCAGAAAGCGGGTGGGGATCAGAAGGGGGTCATTGGGGGTGCCTTGGTGGCTCAGGTCATGATCCCAGGGTCTTGGGATGGATCCCGGTGTTGGGCTCCCTACTCAGCAGGGAGTCTGCTTCTCCCCAGGCACAGAGAAGGGAATGTCTTATCAAATTTGTTTGATAAGACAAATTTGATAAGACATTATCCCTCTTGTTGTTCTGCCCCTCCCCTCCCTC